AGCACACAGTCCCGATTTTTTCCTTGTTAATCTTCAAAACACAAGATATCACATATATATTTAAACAGAGGAACTTCCTGGGCACAGGTAGGTCAATTATGGGAGAGTACATGCCATAGCATGCCAACGTAAGGATGCGGCTACGTGCCATTCAGCAACCAAGAAGTGGCCAAGCTTAAAACCAGCAGGATGTCGAAAAAACCGAAAATCAGCGTCATATTTGGTTCATTTACAATGAAAACGATAATAGCCATTAGGTTTTCGAATGTAATTAGTGTTTCAACTTTATTTAAAAAATTTCTTCATATTTAATCAATGAGTGAATATTAAAGCGGAACCCACAGTTAATCAAGGTCTATACCAAAGCAAGAATTTTGAAATCATAATCCACTACCTTTGAACTTCAATGCGATTAGTCAGGTTTAGTAGAATTTTGTAAAAATATATTTTGTGAGTTTTGATGGTTCATTCTAGACGCGCGTTGTCGAAGCTCCCGTGGTTGTCGCGCTTTGCTGTTGTGGTGTTTGATGATGTCAGAGCTCGTGATTTCCCCTGCCAAGTTTGTGGAAAATGACGAGGCTCTCACTAAAGCTAAGGAGGCAAAAAATAAAAGCACAGATGAGGAACGTCGTAAGCACAAGGAAGAGAAGAAGAAGCGTAAGTTAGAGAAGAAACAACGAAAAGAAGAGAAGAGGAAGCGGAAGGAAGAACGGCGCAAATTGAAGGAAGAAAAGGGTTCGTCTAAATTAGTCGAGAAGTTAGACAAAAATAAATCTAGTGGCAAGGATAACCGTCATAAACTTCCGAGGACGGAATCGTAAATCTCTTCGTATTCTAACTCCATTTTTAGGCCTAAGAAGGATAAAAAGGAGCGTGAGGGTAGTGAACCTCCAGCAAAAGTACCAAAAATCGATCACAGTGGGGTCATATCAGAGGAGGAAGATACTGACGCGGACGTGAAGCCTCAGGCCAAATTTCCTGTATCTCTTGAGGAGCTCATACAAAGAAAGGAGGCTGCAGATGCTGAAATGTCCAAACCTAAGTTTATTTCGCGAGAAGAAAGAGAAAAAATTGCCCTCCAACGGCGCGAAGAGGCTATTCGTGAACAGAGAAAGCGTGCAACTGAGGAACTTAGTAAACAGATCGAATATCTTTCTAAGGCTCGGGATGGTTCGTCTAAGGGAGAAAGTTTGTCTCGCCACGATCGTGATTTGTACAGATCGAGGCGACGGGTTGATGAGTGGGATCGTCGGTATCCCGATAAAAGTCGAGATAGACGCTCTGAGGACGGTGGTTCCAATAAGGTGTCAGCTGCTGACAAAGTCAGGGAAGAAGAGGCTATTAAAGAGCGCTATTTGGGTCAGAAACGCCTTACTAAGCGTCGTCAACGACGCTTGAATGAGCGTAAGTTCGTATTTGATTGGGATGCCAATGAGGATACGAGTCAGGACTACAACCCTCTTTACAAGGAAAAGCATCAAATTCAATTTTTCGGTAGAGGTCACATTGGTGGCATCGATATCAAGGTTGGTTTTAGGTGTACCAATCTTATCATCTTCCTTCTTTTTAGCAACAAAAACGTGAAATCGGGAAATTTTACTCAAAAATGTTGGAAAGCCGTCGTTCTGATACGCAAAAGGAGCAGGAAAAGTAAGTTCGCAGTTAAGTAATTATTTGATTTCTCTGTGTAGTAAGCGTCTTTCTGGATTGGCTAAACGGGAAGCGAAAGAGAAGTGGGACGATCGTCACTGGTCTGAGAAGTCGCTTTCCGAAATGACTTATCGGGATTGGCGCATCTTTCGTGAGGATTACAACATTTCGACAAAGGGTGGAAATCTGCCTAATCCGATCCGTTCATGGAAGGAATCCGCGATTCACAAAGATCTTCTTGAAATTATCCACAAGGTCGGGTATTCAGAACCTACGGCTATTCAACGCCAGGCCATCCCTATTGGTTTACAGAATCGCGATATTATCGGCATTGCTGAAACTGGTTCCGGTAAAACTCTTGCATTCCTCGTCCCCTTGTTGACTTGGATTCAAACTCTGCCGAAGCTAGTTCGTATGGAAGATACAGAACAGGGACCCTATGCCCTAATCATGGCTCCTTCCCGCGAATTGGCTCAACAGATTGAGGAAGAAACTGTGAAATTCGGTGCTCCACTTGGCATCAAGACCGTTGCTGTGATCGGTGGAATTTCGAAAGAAGATCAAGCTTTGAAGCTGCGTATGGGTGCAGAGATTGTTATCGGCACTCCTGGTCGTCTTGTTGATGTATTGGAGAGTCGTTACATCGTACTCAATCAGTGTACCTATGTGGTGCTAGACGAGGCCGATAAGATGATCGACATGGGCTTTGAGCCACATGTGAACAACATCTTGAGCTATCTCCCTGTGACCAATCAGAAGCCTGATACGGACGAAGCTGAACAAGATGAGAAACTCCTGGCCAATTTCTCCACAAAACAGAAGTACAGGCAGACAGTTATGTTTACTGCAACTATGCCTCCAGCG